CACATGGTTCTAAGAGGCAAATATGCGGGAAGAGACTACAGCGGTTCACATTACGCTCTAATCAATTTCAAACTTTGCAGAGGAAAGTTTTCTGCTAATATCTTTCACTCAGGTGCATTAAAATCAATTACTGATTTAATGCATTACTTTATTAGAATGACTGTAGGAAATAGAAGCCCAATACGCCATAATGTTTGTGTCATGTCTGTCTGTTTCCTTTTCCTGTTGTCTGCTTTGTGGGGTAATCTGTGGGTTCACACTCACCTGTTGGTAATTGGCTTCACTTGTCACCTGGTGTTCCCTGTGTATATATATGCCCTCTCCCTCACTCTGCCCTTGTTGGATCATTGTGATTGTTTTTGATCATTGTAGTTGGATCATTGTTCAGTTCGTTCTGTCAGGCAGTTTGTGTTCTGTAGCAGTTCGTGAGTTTCCTGTTCTGTGTTTCCTCGTGTTCCGTGTTACAAAGAGAATTCCATGCCTGGTAGTTCTTCTTGTTTCGTTAATTTGGACTTTGTTAATAAAACGACCTGCACCAGTACTGCATTTGGGTCCTGCCTGCTTCCTGTCGTTGCCCACAGGTGACAGTTTGCCCAAAGAACACCGGCTCTTTCAAACCCCAACAGCTCCACAGCTGCAGTGTTTGATGGTAACATTTAATAGACATGTCCCAGAGGGATTTTAATCTATAACTGCCTTTCCTAGGGGTATCCATCAGGCTGAGAACAAAATCAACAATAACAACCTGTAACAAAAGCAGTGACAGACAGCTGAGGTCACCGAGGCTGTGAAATGAAGCTGGTGCATTATGGGCCAGTGGTGGCATGGTGGTAAAGAAAGTAGCCTTGGGTCTGGAAGGTTAGAAGCTGCCCAGTTATAACTGAGGTCCTCTGAGCATGACATGGGTTATACCATCCATCCATCCATCCATCTTCAACCGCTTTTCCGGGGCCGGGTCGTGGGGGCAACAGTCTGAGCAGGGACACCCAGACTTCCCTCTCCCTCGACACTTCCTCCAGCTCTTCTGGGGGGACCCCAAGGCGTTCCCA